TGCTTTCTGACCAATAAATGAAAACCAATCTGGCAGAACAAATTAAAGTCGATGATATTGACATGTGAGGAAGGGTGCAAAACATGATGAAACATCAAAAAGAAAAAAGACTACAATAGGCATCAAGCAAAGAAAAACAGATGCTTAAGCTGTGTCAAAGTATCTATAATCAAAGGAACTGATTCTGGACTATTGCTTGCTCAAACAAAAAGTAACATTTGAGAGTGATTAAAGAAGAAATAAGTACAGATTGAGACATGGAAGAAGCTCCAATGATATAGGACTGCATTTGAATCTGTGGTGATTTTTCACAAGAGTTCGGGTTTTTTTTTCCCCTTTTGGGGGTCCCTTTTCACTAGTTTCTCAGAGCTCGATTAGTGCCAACAACAGAAGTTCTCTATCTACAAATTTAGAGCTTCAAATTAATGTTACTTAGAACATCATGCAATGATGGGAGCTACAGCTATATATGAGAAGTGGCTAATTTCATAGAAACAACTAAGCAACTTGCACTAAAGAGACACACAAACAACTGAAAATGAGCAAGCCATCAATCAAATAAGTAATAAATAGATGATACCTCTATAACTCTTAGCACCGGCACCAATAAAATCTATGGCCCGTGTATTCATAGTCCCAAACTTTACATCCTTGCAGGAATCATATAACCTCTCTCCAAAAATATCAGTGACAAAAAAGTCGATTGCATCAACAGCCATATTGCCATCAATCTGAAAAAGTATCAGAGTGATGTAGTAGGAATCACAGAGCATACAATCAGAAAGCTGATAAACATTCCCCATACACCAAACTGTCTTGAATTTTTCAATTGCGAATGACTCTTTTATGTTCAGGGGAGCCATTTCAACATGAATATAACAACGATGTATCAAAGATATCTTCATTATCTACTCCTCAGAAAGAAGAACAAGTCTTGAACCAAATCATTTCTCTTTATATCAATAACTGAAGCCCCAAATAGTACACAGTGTATCTACCTCAGTCACAGAAGTCACATTGATGAAAAGGCTTTGATTTGGCGAGCAAGACAACTCACAGAAAAGGTTCAAAAAGTTCCTTAAGCATGCTGGACAGCCCACTAGGAATGGTATTGCCTGAAAAATATACAGAATATAGTGGTGTCACTTGATAGTCTGAACATGAAACAAGTACCTTGGGAAAGACACAAAGATCTTTTTTAATTAATCAAAGCTAAGTCTCTCAATAATCTACTATATTTAAGCAGAAAGTATATCTCTTTTTGTTCCTCTTGTTTTCTGGGGGAGGGGGGGCGCTCGCTTTGTGGTATTGGGGTTACCAAAGAGGATTAACTGACCATGAAAGTAAACTAGAGCAAAGAATCCAACTCAATATAAGCAAGAACACGTTTATTAAAACAACCACACTCTAAAGCATTAGTCTAACTTCAAGCGGTGCCAAAACCAGAAGGAAAAGGCTATTATGAAAAGCTCCATTAGTAACAAACTAAAGAAATTGCTCACGCATTTCACTAAAAGCATTGCAAAGGCATACATATGAGGGAATCTATAGACACCAGAATTCATGTATGATCAAGAGTCAAGACGATGCAGGATGGAAATTACCAATAGTATATTACTACATTCGTTCAGCAATCTGTCTGGATAGCAGATTAATGGGATCCGCTCTACCAACATCAGTACTACAGGCTTGACAAAGGTAATCTTTGACCAGCAAATGGATGATTTTAACACAATCAAAGGAGCACCAAAGAGCAGGCAGATAACAGGCCCCAATAACTCAAAGACCTTTGATGGAAGATGTCGTAAATAAATATAGTGAGTTTTTACTATCTTACTATCCAAAAAGAAAAAAGAGCCTTATGACAATAAAACTAACAAGAATATCTTCAACAATTTTAATTTAGTAAGAGGGCCGGCGGATGGAATGAGTATGCTAATTCATTCATCTAGACAGGATAAAGAGATTCCCAATCATGAAAGCAGACATACTTAATGATAAATACAATCAGCCTTCTGAAGAATTGCCTCGAAGAACAAAGAAAAAGCTGTCCAGGAGTACACATTTGGGGCCATGTAAAGTAAAACATTGCATCCTCGAGGCATTAGAATACAAAGGTTTTCATGGAAGAAAAGACTGTGAACAATTAACTCTGGCTATCGAACCAAAAGGCCTGAAAGCTTACTTGTTGAACTTGAGCACGTAATGTCTCAAACTGCGTCTCTGTACAGCAAACATTTCCACTTATAGTTGGACATAAGCTTTGAATTTTGGCAGAAAGAAGCTCATCAGGCTGCAGAAAACAGGTGTCAACTGATAAAAGGCATTGTTATGGCCATACTAGGAATTGGCAAGAAAATATGAAAAGAGCTTTAATGCTTCTTTTTCTTATTCAATGCCCACAACATACCTTCACAGAAGGAGAACCATATGGGCAGTTTAGAACTTTGCCATCACTGCGTTCTCCACATATATCATACATTGCACAGTAATCTTCTGAATGCCTTTCTCTGATCATTATATCATATTTTTCAAAAGGCAATGAACAAAGAGGATAAAAATTTCAGTAAATCCAAGACAAATAAACTTTTAGCGGAAACATCACTATTCAGGTCCACTGCATTGAAAAGACTAGTGCAACTTGCACCGCACGAACTACAACCCGACATCGCCTAAACTCCACATTCAAGATTAACCAGCTTACTAAAGACTAGACGGGTCTCATTTAAATGACTAACAAATATTAGAGGAAAGCAAGTGGGACTCAATCGCAGAAAAACTCTCACGAGGCTGATAATTTAAAGAAACAGACGCATTTTCGCGAATCATGGACATAAGACTACAGAGAAAAGCAGGCTTACAGAGACATGGCACCGGAACTCGAAAGCATCTCCATCTCGATCTTCCGACAGCTGAGCAAGGAGGCATAACCGATCACCTATAAAACCAAAAATTTCCCCATTGAACGAAGACCAACCCATGAATCAGCAACTAATCCAAGAAAAGTCATCCCGGTTTAAAATAAAATTCACGGAGCACACGCGATTCAGCCATTGGCGATGACCCACGTCAAGAAACAGATTTAGACACCGACCGCACAACACCGAAACGCACAGGCAGACACCCAAGAAAGCCATTTCAATACTGAGCCAACACTCCGAGCAAGCACTGTAAAGGGGAGCACAGACTCGTGCCTGCAAGAGAGCAAGAAATGCCCGGAAAGAGAGCCCCGAGAGCTCGCGCTTGAAGATGGCCATCGCCGTGCTCGCCTTCCTGTCGATGCGCGAGGACCCAGGGAAGAGAATTGAAGCGGAAGCGGTCGAAGTAAGGGCAGCACGAGCCCAGCCAGGCAAGAGGGTAACCCCGCTTACAGCACGGCTCTTGTAGTGGAAGCCATAGTTTTCGGGATTTCGGGGCGGAGAGAAGGGAAGGGAGGCACACGCAGTAATGAGAAAGAGACACGAGGCATTGATGCGAGTAGAGCCAAAAAAGTTGGACGATATTCGCGCTCGCAGCAGGCACGACTGCGTGAGCGCACGCAACGCTTTCCTTGGCTTTTGTGACTTTTGAGCTCGTTTCGTATCTTTCTATGGAATATCTTGGGATTGTCCTCGCATTATCAAATTGGATATACGAGAAGGGAATTGAGATTTCTAAGAAAAAAAATTAACTGAGAATGCATATAAATATTGATGTACTTGGTCGTCCGATTTTATTTATCAGACTGGCTCTTATATGCTTTCATAAAATATCCAATGAAACGATTTATATCTCTATAGTGACAATCACCCTTAAATCAATTTTCGAGCATTAGCGGAACTCTGAAATAAGTCCTTGAAGCACATGTAGAGAGTTGCATGTCGGTACGGAGCAGAACTCTACATGTATGGGTCTTCGATCAATAGCAAGAATTCGAAGGCGAATTTCACGTCGAATACTTAACTTTGATTGGGATGAATGTCATTACTTTTGCGAGGCTCGTTATCTACATTTTTTTGTGACAGGGAATTCAAACTTAGGTCGATAAAATCCTCATTCACAAAATTTCCATTTAATCTCATGAAAAGAGTGAAGTTGGATCTCTAGTGAGGCTTAAATCGGCGTCTGCCAAGGGGAGAGAAACTAGGGGAAAATTACCAAAAAAGTCCGTAACCTTTTGTAGTTGTGCTAATTTAGTCCTAAACCTTTTTTTTTTTATCAATTCAGTCCTAAACCTTTTGCAAACCAGCCAATTCAGTCCTTTTGGCCGGGCGACGCTGACATGGCCGCCGGCCAGCTGACGTGGCGCCAGCCGACGTCCACGTGGCAATATTTTAATATATTTTTTTATTATTTTCGAATTTTTTTCTTTTTTCTTTTTCTTTTCCTTCTCCCCCTGGCCTGTCCGACCAGGGGAAGGCTCGCCGGCGAGGCGAGCTGGGCCCTTGCCCGAGCTGGGCGAGGCGGAGCTCGCCCAGCCAAGGCGAGCTCTGCCCTCGCCCAGCCATGGCAAGCTGGGCCCTCACCGCCGCTGGGCGAGCTCCGCCCTCGCCCAGATCTGGCGAGGCAGAGCTCGCCATGGCAGGGCGAACTCCGCCTCGCCGGAGCTGGGCGAGGCTCACCCAGCGGTGGCGAGGGCCCAGCTCGCCATGGTTGGGCGAGCTCCGCCCGCTCGCCCAGCCGGCTTGGCAAGGGGCCCGCCCTCGCCCAGCTCCGGCGAGGTGGAGCTCGCCTCGCAGAAGCGGGGCCCTCGCCGGCGAGCCTCCCCCTGGCCAGGGAGGAGAAGGAAAAGAAAAAAAAAATCGAAAATAATAATAATAAAATATTAAAATATTGTCACGTGGATGCCGGTCGGCGCCACGTCAGCCGGCCGGCGGCCACATCAGCGCCAGCCGGCCAAAAGGACTGAATTGGCTGGTTTGCAAAAGGTTTAGGACTGAATTGGCAAAAAAAAAGGTTTAGGACTGAATTGGCACAACTACAAAAGGTTTATGACTTTTTTGGTAATTTTCCCAAGAAACTACAAACATCAAACAGAACCGTTAAAGTCATACATAACGATCTCGGCTGCCCTTCATTGGATGGACAGGTTTAACTTCACAAAAATCTGGTGCATCAGCATTCGATCGCCATCGAACCACTGCTCCTGTCAATCCTCATGCAGCGATGCAACTGCTTAACCATGGATCGTATCTCGCAGGCTCGCGGGTGCGACTCGTCCCCAGCAATAAACCTACACGATCTGTCCTCAACATTAACAGCGCTGTACCCGGCTATTACACCGATCGCTCTCTCTTTTGCCAACCTCCTCATCCTCGCAGCATCGCTCCACAAACCGCCTACCGCATACATGCTCGATGCGAGCATGTAGTTTGCCGAGTTCAATGGTTCCAACTCGAGAATCCGAGGAACGACGTCCTTGCCCATGTATTCATTTCCAAAGCTTTTGGAAGCGCTCAATAGCGCCCCCCAAGCGCTGGCCTTGGATTCCAATCCTTCAGGCATCTCTTTGATCAAGTCCATGGCCTTATCAAGCTTTCCTGCTCGACTCAACATGTCTACCACGCACGAATAATGTTCTACATCTTGGCGGAGATCGTGCTCATCGACCATCGATTGGAAGAAGGAAAGCCCCTCTTCGACCAAGCCACCGTGACTGCAAGCTGATAAAACAGAAAGGGCAGTCACTTCGTTGGGCTTAATGTTGTGCAGCTTCATCTGGGCAAGCAAAGTCAGGGCTTCACGTGCAAGGCCATTCATGCCGTACCCAGCTACCATGGCACTCCACGAGAGGACATTTCTGTTGGGCATTTGGTCAAAAACCTTTCTCGATGATTCTATCGTGCCACATTTCGAGTACATGTCGACGATGGCAGTTCCGACAGCCACTTCTGGTGCCAGGCATGTCCGGATTGCTATTCCGTGGGCGGATTTTGACCTTTTCAGTTCGGCCGAAACCGAACAAGCATCGAGCAAATTGATGATGGTAATTGCATTTGGCCTCTCTTGAGCACGTATCATCTTGCTGAACACTGTGATGGCCTCGTCAGGCTCCCCATTGTTGGTGAGCCCGGAAATCATCGTGCTCCACGAAACTGTGTCCTTCTCCATGCTATCGAAAAGGTCCCAGGCAATCTCTATCCTACCACATTTTATATACGCATCAATCAGAGAGTTCTGCAGAAAGTCATTTGATTCATATCCCTTCCTCAAAGCTAGACAGTGTACTGACTTGCACCAGCAAAGATTCACGTAATGCTTGCATGTCTGAAGGACATTCACAAGGGTCACTTCATCTGCCTCAATCCCTTCCTTTCCCATTGAACAAAACATCGACAGAGCTTCCGAGTACTTCTCGTTAAGAACATATCCAGAAACGATCGAGTTCCACGAGACGAGGTTCCTCCACGTCATATCTCTGAAAACACTAACCGCAGAGTCGACATCTCTACACTTGCAATACATATCAATCAAAGAGTTCTCCACAAACGAATCAACATCCAAACCCTTCCCGAGCACAAAGCCATGGGCCATCTTTCCCACAATCAAAGACCGGATACCAGCGCAAGCTTTCAGGACACTCACTACAGTCACCTCATCGGGGTCAATCTTGGCCTCCGAAACCATCTTTACAAACATCCGGAAGCCAAGATCAGCTTCCTCGTTATGAAGATACCCAGCTATCATCACACTCCACGATATGACATCCCTCTCGAGCATTTCATCGAACATGTCCTCCGCACGCTCCATATCGACATCCGCGTACCCTCCCAACAGAGAGTTCTGCACCGAGACAGAGCCCCAGAACCCATTCTTTATCACATAACCATGCAGCTCAAACAATTCGTTCACCAACCGGATGCTGCGACACGCCTGGAGAACCAGTACCAGAGTGGAGACACCGGGTTCGAACCCGTCAACCCGGGCTCGCCGAAACCACGACAGCCCTCGTCCCAAATCTCCCCGACGAAGGAACCCATGAATGAGCACGTTCCACGACACGGAGTCCCTGCTTCGCATGGACCGGAAGACGCCCAGGGCAGACTCCAAGTCCCCGCACTTCACGTACGAGTCCGTGATGGAGTTGCCGACGGAGGAGAACCCGTCGAGACCCCGCTTGAGCACCCAAGCGTGGATGGACTTCCCATGTTCGTTCGATAGCTTCGAAGCCGCCTTGACGACGGAATTGATCACCGAAGGCTCGGTGATCTCAACTCCTGCTCGCTTCGCTTCGTTAAAGCGGACCAACACCTCGTGCCAGCTTCCAATGCGGGACAGTTCTTTGACCCGCGAGATTGTGTCGGCGAGGACCGCCGGTTTGAAATGCAATCGCATTGCAAAGAATGCAATATCATGCTTTCAACCTACGGACATACCCCAATTCCTTAAACGTCGGAGCAGAAACATTTTGTAATAAAAAGTTCCTTCTCTTCGATCGGTTCATTATGCATATGGAGCTTCATCGTTCACCTTCGAGGCCGATCGATAAAGCAGCTTGTATGCATTTGTTGGTTCGCAAATGCATTCTCGTAAATGGTTACGCAATACGATCGATGAAGGCCGAGCTCGTCTTTTCGGCCTAAGGCATTAGAAGTTCACACTTTGTGCGAGGACAATGGTAGATAACGTTGAAGTAACAGTTAAAGAATGCACGCTGAAAGTGAAAGATCGACAGTATAATGGAACTTTTCTTCTATTGTTATGACTGCAAAACTTCATCTGCCAAGTTTATGCAAAAAAATATGAAAATTTGATTGTTCCGTGCCGTCTCTTGTCGAAGTTTAAAGAATATCTCAGCCTTCGCCGAGCGCAATGGTGCTTCTGCTGGAGAAAGGAATCCTTTTTCGCAGAGAGAGCGAGAGTTATTCGCTTATGTTGCAACGCCGAAGATATGGGTTGTCGAACATGATGTATTTCGACCAATAAGGTTTGTACTTGGCGACCGCCAAATCCAACCAGGGCTTGTAGTTTCCGTTGTAATGAACGACGGCTGCATTATCTATCTCTGTCAGATTGAGTGCCGGATCATAGCCGAGTCCCAACACGTGCCACCTCCGATCGAGCGGATAAGTCAGATTGTAGAAGGTGATCAATCCCGGGGGTAACGTGCCGAGTTTCCACAATGTCCTATCCTCGTTCTGCATTGAATTTTCAATGAGTCAGTCACATCATAGCAAAGACAGCATCCACACTTGAACCCAAGAGCCACACACTAAGTCATTTGATGTTACACTACAGATATAAGCATATTCGCAAGCAAATCAGCACTATCATTCCTAAAGCAGAACAAGGAAATCAGCGAAGACGCAGGACAAGATAGACCAGACATCAAGGACCCACAGAGCTGCAACTCCAAACATTGCAAAATCAACGTGAAATAGGGAAAAAGAAGTTTGGGATATGAACCCAATTGAAGCAACAATGTACATCATCATGAGTTATCACTTCTCTGTTTCCTGGATGAGCAATATTTACTCAATACACCTAGTAGTTGTTGAGAAGATGGAAGCAGAAAGGACGAGAAGCATTGGAATTACCATGTCCTGCCAGCGGTGATATATTCCCGTGATGTTTCGCTTCTTCCACTCCTTGAGGTCAAACATATTCATACCATATGCCCAACCACAAGCACCAGGATCAAAGTTCTCAGAGATGATTGGATTAGAGAAGTTGAGATACTTATCGAACCTATGGAAACTCTCCTTACAAGTCTCAACGGCACCATTTACCATCCCATGCAGATCAACAGACCAAAGAGGCGTCAAGTCCTTCTGAACCACTATGTCATCATCCAAAAATAGTATCTTGTTTAACTTTGGGTAGACTTCAGGAAGGTAAAATCGAAGATGATTCAGCATGGACAGATACTTTGGATTTCTGTATTTGAGATTGTCGGTCCCAGCAGATAGGGAGGAAGGGTGATTGGCCTTGAAATAATATTCTTTAACCCTGGCAGACTCAAGTTGACGTAGAACAGAACAATATGAAGAATTGAGCCATGTAAATTCATCAATATTTTCAACCTGAACAGTCGCTTTGGCAGGAGGATTGACAAGAAACCACATTTTCATTGCTGCAAAATTTAGCTTATCTGTCACAATATGGAACACGTGCTTCTCAGGCTCCTGTGCATGCTGCATTGTAGAATTCACAACCACGGAAGTTGCTAGCACATTATCAGAAAAGATTGCATAGTGGTACAGTGAAGGATCTTCAATCTTGTCTTTGTCCAGGTCTCCTTTACTAGCATAATGCAGAAAATAATAGTCGGCGGTGAGCTGTAGAGGAAGGCAATGCAATGGAGTAGGAACTGTTTTAGCGGCTAGCTGAATGAGAAATGCACTCTTTTTCTTAAGAGCATTCACGTTGTCTTCAGTTGACTGAAGCATCCCTCTTAGTTTCCTTGCAACTGTAAGGCAATCATATAATTGGTCCTTCGCCAAAGAGAGGATGTGGCCCATTGCTTTTGCCTGATCGAGTGCACTAGAGAGAAAGGGAATGAGGAGGCAACCACATATAAGATAAAAATTGAAAGCATGTTCAAATTCCAGAAAACAAAGGTAATTGCCCCAACGAGAGTACCTGGAATGAAGCTCAGCATCCGAACTTGCTTCTCCAATAACTTGACGACTTTCTCTAGAGTGCTTCATGAGGACACTATAAAGGCTAGTATTATTTTTTGATTTAGCAATGGTAGCATATGCTTTTGCCATTATGATCTGGTCACGCATAAGTTTTAATGTAGAATCAGAATTAGGATTCTCATAATCTCTTCTCCATATGCTGTACTTTCCCTTCACGGTGGTATCGAGATTTTTGGACCTTTCTATTGCTGCTTCAACCATCTGATCATCCTCTTCTTTACCTTGTTGGATAAGCTCTGCAGTTCGGAGGACCCTCCTTTCCTGGCGCATCATCTGAAAGGAGAGGCGGGCAGTTATTACAGATTCGATCGTCCATGAAACCCAAATAGCATGTTTGAAAAGTTCAACTGGTAGATATGGCAATTTACCCGACGCTTGAGCTTCACAGGGCTTGACGGGGGCACAGGCTGATATTGAGTTCCACTTCCACCATCAAATCTCATCTCTGAATGATTGCTCGTTGTCTTCTCTACCTAGATTTGCATTTCTGTGTCAGTTGCTTACTACGAAAAGAACGAACTACAATGACATGTATAAACATAAAGACTGAACATCATCATTCCTCTACTTTACTCCATGTATTGTGCTAATTTCCTGGCCCCGAAATGACCAGCAGCTATTCTTTCAGAACCTGGTGTCTGAATTCCTTACGAACAAAAGAAAGTGTTTGAATCAAAAATTATTACCAGGAGATCATTTATGGGACCATGGTTTCCATCGACTGTATTTTCCCACGCCCATGAATTAGAAAGGTCCTTCATTCTTACAATACCCATCCGAACTTCCCCGGAGGAGTGGCTGTATGTGGCAATGATCTTAACATCCTGTATGCAACAGGTAACAATAACATGAGCAGGTTTGTCTTCCGTACATGATATGCATTCAGCTGCTTACCAGCTTCTCCGGAAAATTGCCAAGTCCAGCAAAAAATCAACACAAACTTGCTTCCAGATCTTACCTCTTCATCTGCAAAACTGCCTTCTTTAGCATGAAAGATGCCCAGCTCCTGTTCACCCACACGACAGGTAATCAGAAACTCTAGAGAGCATTAAATGTTTGGCGAAATAAAAGATACAGGTTAATACAATAGTTGCGGTCAGTTTAGTGTAGAAAGTCAGATTTAAACGCCTTACACGAAGCAAGGTACAGCTGAATCCAGACGTCAAAATGTCAGAGCTCAAACCCAAAAGCCATGGTGTAAAGCCTCAGCGAAACCAAACACCCCCTAAGGTTATAGGACATTGATTGTACTTGTTATCACTTATCAGGCCATTGTCTACCTATTTTCATGGAGACATTTATTTTCACCTCTTAGTTAGTTCTTATAAATGATATGCGGACACAATATCTTTATGAACTTCTTGTTTGAGTATATTTTCGACGCTTAAGTTGCTAAAATACACCTGCTTGATCGTATGGCCCACCATTCTAGTGGCAAGAATTATGAGTTACAATCGATCCTCTGATATAAATGCAGACGTGCCACGGGCCAGACATCAAGGAAAAGAAGTAGATGAGTAGCAATCTAGACTCAGCGCTCTGCAATCCAATTTCTAACTAATGTGGAAAAGTCCGCGAGATATTTGATGTCGCCTCGTATGGTTCTAAGTTATCCTCAGGCTTCAATTTTTCTGTCAGAGTGATGGCAAAGGGCAAGAGCCATGCATTATTCCCATTTCCGAGATCAACGAAAAAGTAAAACCTCATGTCTCAGGAAACGGAAAATTCAGATGCTAGAGTTTGAAGCTACTGATAAAGGACGCTAAAAGCAATTGAGCTATGTTAGGTCGACCGCTTGAGAGTAATTACTGCTGGAGAATGCAATGACGACCGTACAATCCAACCTAAGACCAAGATATAGAATCAAGAAACCCCAAGCAGCGCATTCGCCGGGGTCCGGGTCACAATTAGCGTACTCATTCGCCGACGATCAATCGAAAAGACCGTGATCCGGGCAAAACAAGACTCACCAAGTTTCTGCCGTTGACATAGCAGGCCAAGCACAAGAGCATAAGAACGAAGCAGCACGACGACATCACGAAACCCATCTTTCAACATCCGGTTCAGCTTCGCGCCTCCATCGAATCTCCCAAATTCAAGCCACCAGCTGCCCAAAAAAGAACCCAAAAAAAAAAAAAAAAAAACAACGCCCGACGATCATGAACTAGAAAAGGTGCTCTCTTTCATGTTCAACAAAAATTCGGCCAGCGACCCATCCGGCCTTGAGCCAAAACCCACACGACGGACGGACGGTGTCGTCCAATCACCGACGAGCAATGCGCAACGAGTGCCCACACACAAGACGACTACGAGCACACTGTATGAACAGCTGACGCGCATCGTCCCCACTTCAAATTCGTCTCGCCCTGAACTAAAACTGCGTCATTTTCGACCGGACAAAGCATTAAGGCGCGGGCTCACCTATTCCTGATCGGCGTCGCATCTGCTCCGATCGACCATAGCAGCAGCAACAATCCACGGAGAGAGAGAGAGACGCTTTGGTTTTTGACGGTGGCGTCGGAGGGAGATCTGCGCGGGCCTCCGGCCTCCTAAAACGACAACGGCATGGACGCGCGACGCACGACGAGCCGTTTGCGCCGCGTCGTTTTAGCGATCCGGACTCCACGCATAAACACTGACTTTTTTTTTTTTGAAAATGAAAAATTCACTTGGTTTTTACATCGATAATTACGATACATAGAAGTAAAAAGTTATTTGACCCGTTAGACTGCCAATAATTTGGATAACATTTTCTTAAAATGATATTTATATTATTTACAAAAATAAATAAATAAAAAATATTTTCATCATTTACGAAAATGTTAAGACATAAATTATTGTCAGTAATAAAATTATTTTTCATCGATTAGTCATTTTAAGCGATTCAAACGATCATTTTAACAAAAATATTTTTTAAATCATTCATTTTTCGCGAAATAAACAAACCCTCAATTAAAAAGTTGTTAATCGTACCACAATTATCAACTTTGTAACCACATGAGAACATCATCAATTGCTTTTATGCTTGGTAACTTTCAATTTTTTCCTCTCCATTTCCGTTCATTTCATGATATTATTACGATTCTAAAATACCTTTCTCTTTTTTCTAAATCTTAAAATTTGCCACATCAGCTACCACACACATGTAATTAATGTGCTATGCTACGCTCCACTATACAAACCGTGTAAGTTGAAGGACCCAATTGCATAAATTATAAATTCGAGAGCTCAGTTGCACAAAACAAATCCAAACGTGGATTTCAATCACAAAGTTTGCACAAATTCATGGGCTTCCTTGCAAGATTTTTGAGATTCAATTTTATTCTTCATCTTTAAACAAATAGATGATGTCATATTTCGAATTAATGGGCATAATTACAATGTGATTCCTCAAATCTCTCATACTTTACTATTTTCAGTGTGACAATCATTTAAATTTATTGGGAAAAATTAAAAAAAAAACACCAAAAAACAAATTGCTACGACGCCAAAAAAACCAAGGGGGCATGTTGTATAGTTCTCACACGAATTTGCCATCCATTAAGTGTATAAATTGACCCTAATTCTTAACTTTTTTGCTTTCAAACATTTGATATTTGACATTACCAGTAGCAATCATGTCAAATTGCTTCATAAATTTTAGGCAGAGAAGTTCACATTTAGTCCTTTAACTTGTGCAATTTTTCATAATTAGACCTTCGGGTTTTTCGTTACGTGCGATGGAGTCCTCTAACTTTAATTTTTTTTTCCAATCAAGTCCTTTTGGCACCACCAGCACACTCAATCCTAATTGTCTAAAATTGTTGATACTAAATGATAACCATAACAAACAACACAAACTATTTTCAACCTAACATCAGTTCAAGTTTAGTACAAAAATGTAGAAAAACTCCATACCAAAAAGAAAGAAAGAAAAAAGGATAAGGAAAAATAGAAAGCAAATGGAAAACGGCGGGAGGGAGAGACGGGCGGCGGCGGCGGCGGCATCACCCTCCATCTCTGCAGCCGCCGCCATCGCCCTCTACCTCCGTTGCCGTTGCCAAATGCCATAAGCAGCCCAACACCGGCGAAAAAAAAATGACTTTTTGCTTAAAAAAAGTCGAAACAAATAAAATATCAGAGTCTTGGTAAAAATCCTTCATTTGCAACTCTTTTGCGAGTGTGCACTATCAGCCAAATTAAAGCATCTGTAGCATTAGGACTTGCCATAGCCTCTGTATAACAAAACTGAAATGCTCAACCTCAAACCCTTTTCCCAAACGCAAATCATCAGCCAAATTATGGCTAAAAATAATCCTACAATCCAATGTAACCACACCTTCATTGCTGAACAATCACCCCTTGATTCCTACTACCTAAGTCGAGGCGAGTTTTGGTAAGCCGAAACCCCTTTATGCCTCGAGTGCAGCGGAGACCGGGTCTGCATAGGCGGCGGCTTCGGCAGCGGCAGCTGGTGCTGGACATGGCTGTGAGCCATGGGACGCCCGCTCCTCGACTGGGCCGCTCTCTCGGTGGCCGGCTCGAGCGTCTCCAGGGTCCTCACGACCTCTTCCATGGATGGCCGGGACTTTGGCTCGGGCGCTACGCAGCTCAGCGCGAGCTGAGCGATCTCGTACATGGTTTTTGAGTGGTACTTCCCCTCAAGCGTGGAGTCCATGATGGTCTTCAGCTTCCGTTTGTCAGACAAGTATGGTTTCACCCACTCGACCAGATTCTCCTGCCCGGGCGGACGGGCAGGGTCGACCGCCCGGAGGCCTGTCAACATCTCGACTAGGACTACGCCGAACCCAAACACGTCGCTCTTAACATAAAGATGTCCTGTAAACGTACAAGAAAATTGCTTATTGCTTGACATACGAAAGACCGATCAACGAAACATGTTGATAAGGTCGGACTTCGAAAGAGAACGAGGACAACTGACCGGTCGCGATGTACTCCGGAGCTGCATAACCTTGTGTTCCCATGACCCGGGTTGAGACATGAGACTGGCTCGCCGAAGGACCCATCTTGGCCAGGCCAAAGTCTGAGATCTTGGCATTGTAAAACTAATGAAGCAGGAAAAGTTAGATACTGTTCCATATGACCATCTATACAGAAGTACTACTTTCTTTTTCGTTTATCTGATCATTTTATCAGGACAAGTTTAAGGTTGCCGTAGGGCTTTGTTTTTCTTTTTTCATGGGGGCACTTACAAAGAATTAAGCGTCCATGAATTTGCCCGATAGGCATAGTGAAGAATTCATGACAGACGCAAAAGCGCATGAAGAACATGCCGTCGCAAAGGATGAACTGTGGTTGTAACTCACTTACTCCGTCCAGCAGTATGTTCGAGGCCTTGAAGTCCCGATAAATGACTTGCTTTTCGGAAGTGTGCAGGAATGCCAGGCCACGTGCCGCTCCTACTGCGATTTTAAGCCTCAAGCCCCACGGAAGTGGCTGAACCATTGCACCCCCTGCCAGGTAAGGAAATTGTTCTCAGCGAAAAGCCAAATATTTTGATAGAGAACTGAGAAGAATCGGCAAGATTATGTTAAACGCATTTGCTAAGTAATCTCAACAGATCGCGCATTACTTCCAAATAAATGGTGTTCCAAGCTGCCCTTCTGCATGAACTCATACGCCAGGAGAAGCTCCTTCTCCTCCAGGCAATACCCAATAAGCTTCACGAGGTTTGGATGAGAAAGCCGTCCTAGGAAATCTATCTCGGCCTGCAAAAAGTGACACGTAAAACACCAGTTGTTGACTAGTGCTGGGACTAATCCCGGATAAGCATAGAAAGGTAGCTTGAGGTACAATTCAACGCTAGATACTTTGATTCTGGTTACATTCAATCGAAGAGAAGCACCTGCCACTCCTGGAAACCCTGCTCACTCTCGGATTTCAGTTTCTTGACAGCGATTACCGACCCACTGCCACTCTTCGATGAAGGCTTTTCGTCAAGCCAGCCCTTGAAAACTTTTCCAAAGCCGCCCTCTCCAAGAAGTGTGTCAGGCTTAAAGTTTTTAGTCGCAGCTTTCAGCTCCGCGAAGGTGAAGATCCTTAAATTTGCGAGCGGTAAGATCTGGCCATGAGGGGAAGCCTCGTCCCCGCTCGAAGCAGAGAAGCGGCTGATCGGGGATATGCTGCTGCCGAGTGAAGTTGTCGTCATTGTCATAGTGCTTGTTGACTGTGATGATGTTCCTGCTAGGATTTACACTATTTAAGCAAGAGAAAAGGAAGAGGAGATGGAGTGCAAACGCTCTATCCACTGCGCACCAAACACAGGTTCATCGAAGTAAAACGACATAGGGAGTCCATTTCCATACAGATTGAAGACATTGAGTCATGGCATGAGAAGATACTGCAAGCAGGTAGGAATCTTTGGCTCTGGTTAAGAAGTGACCACAAGTTTCAATCATCTAGAACGAGCAGTATCGGACATGAAAAGCTAGGAACTTTGGCAAAGACAACAACATAGGATAGGATAATAATTCAACGAGAGCCATAGAAGCATCTTATCTTCCGAACATTTTTGTACAGACAAAACAAACACAATCTTGGTTTTACCTGTGGTATTGAGGTGGGAGTCAGCCCTCGAGCTTCGATTTTCAGCAGAAGAACCCCAACAATTCCCCATGAGTTATAAACTGAATCTTGCCTTACCCACGTTGAAAAGAAACTGAAAGACCCAAAAGGTGAATCACTGGAGCTCGAAGAAGCTCCTTCCTTGATATGGACAATGACCACCACAAGTTTCAACAATCTTTGTTGCTGCTGTTGCTTCTGACGATGCGTAATATAGCAGCCTAAACATCACCCTTTTCGATGGCCCCGTTATTCCACACCCTTGACCAGAGCTTTCTCCCACTAATTCCCCCGCAGTTTCCCAGTTGAAGCAGAGAGAGAGAGAGAGAGAGACAGACAGTTCCAAGTCAACTGCCGTATAAGATAAACTCGTACCAGTCAACAGACAAGGACGGGAAACGAGATTTTTAAAGGAAGAGAAGGCGACATTTGCGTACACATGAATGTCCAGGCCGGACTAGGTTGCTTCCTTCCCTGAAGGGAAAAAGCAATGTGAATTGCCGATTGACCGGCGCGCGTCCAATACTCTGTCGTCGTCATCATTGACAAAGAAAAAACTCAGAAAGGTTTAAGCAAAATCCTTCTTGTATGTCACATAAGTAACACAAGAAGAAGAAGATGAAGAAAGCTTAATCTCGCGCTACATATAATCTTTTGTTTACTATTCTAGGAATTACCATGATAGGCGGAGAAACCTATGCCGCTTCTTGTCGTGAACAAAAAAGCCTTATCTCTTCATGCATCGTGAAATACCCTTCTTGATTCTTAAACTGAAAGTATATGTTCATTGAAAATCCTAAAACTTGTTACGAAAGTACAATTGAGTTCTAAAACTTGCAAAATATGCAATCAAGGCTTAAAACTTGTTAAATTAGTGCAATTGAGTCCTTATATTAATTCTGTCCAACTTGGTTAACGGCATGCTGACGTGGCTTTTTTAAATATTTTCTCTTTGTTATGTGGTGATGACGTGGCTAAAATGACGTTATTTTTGTCCAAATATGATTTTTAATACAAATGTTATTTATATTAAATTTTAAAAAATAATGGGAGGTTGGACGCTTGCTGCCGCCGCCGCACCATCGCCGGGAAGTGGGGGTGATGGTGGGGAAATGGTCGGCGGGGGTTGTCAGCCCCAACCTCGCTGACTACAGGCGAAAGCTAATGGTGGGGCGGTAGCGCTCGTTGCCTGGTCCACCCCCTTGGTTTTTTAATTTTAACTTATTTTTGTAACTTAATTATAATCAAATTTGTATTAAAAATCAAATTTGGACCAAAACGACGCTATTTTAGTTTCATGTTTCGTGTTTTAACTACGTTATCGCCACGCAATAGAGAGAAAATATATTTTAAAAAAAAGGCCATGTTAGCATTTTCCGTCAGCCGAGTTGAACAGAATTTACGGAAGGACTCGATTTCACCGATTTGACAAGTTCCAGGACTTAATTGCACTTTTCGCAAATTTTAGTTTTCAATTGCACTTTTATGACAAATTTTAGAATTTTCAATACACGTATCCCTAAACCATAGTGTCCTCGTACCTTTTTTCTTTACAAGTAATGAGTTTTGCCCCACACCGTGTAACTGGCATAACGTACCAGTCGGGTTTCATGAGCCGCAGTTTCAACAGAATGTGCAGCTACGTTAATTCGAACAGGGGAGCCAGATAGACCATCGCTCTTTGTTACTAGAGCCATCCACTATACTTTGTCGATGTCTTGCCTGTTCTTGTCGTTTTGAAATCGAAAATCTCACGAAGGTTTGACTTCTTCGCACTCGACCATTATATAGGCTGGCAAGCAAGAGAGGCCAATCGCTATCGCTTTTGGACCAAAACTGGTTTCGGAACTGGAAGCCTCCTCCAAGTGGCCAGCGATTTCCACGTTCCGGGATGAACCCGTCTTCCACTCCAAAACCACAATCTGAAAAAGTCCAACATAAAAAAAAGTCTCCCCCTTTATGAATCCCCTAATTGAAATGTTTGGTCTGACGTTTTGGTGTGAAATAGCTTCGTGTGTGAATCTGAAGAGGAGCATCTCTAGGGCCAAAGAAAGAAAGAAAAAGTCTGCGAACCTCGAATTCGATTGAAATCCCATGAAAGTTTCAAACTTTAAAGTGACCGATGTCACCGAGCTTTAAAATTTCTAGAACAAATCCTTTCTTGAGGAACCACAACAACCGTACTTGAGAGTTTCCTACCTTATACAGCTCAACGTTTAATTCTCGTGGTGTCTCGTTTTTTTATTTTTTTAATGCTCGGGTCAACCAAAAGCAAAAGAGGTCAATTCCATGAGGTTCAAGCTTGAGTTTTTATCAATAATAACAAATAATCCGTGCTTTCGACTAGTAATTCTGGAAATGGTCAGCAAAGTAAGTTGTGTTTTGTCTGCAAACAGAACATCGGAATGAAGTCGCGCATCGAAAAGTCAAGCAGTTCATATTATACACATTTCGGTCTCGGGTACTCTGGTTTTCTCACCAGAAATGTCACAGCTTCGATTTGACTAATGTTTCTGCAGTATGAAACCATTTTATTTTCGCAATAACCTGACCTCGAATGCTTGCACTGACATCTAAGAGTTGTCTAGTCTCATTTATGTATTCATCCAACGTTAACGTTTTGTGTTGACCCGCACGCTTCAACTGGAAAAATATAGTTGAGAAAAGATTAAAAAAAAATGGCTTGCTTCCAAACTACTGAAGTACGGTTGTACGTACAAGTTGAACATCACCTGGTCAGAAGCGCCATGCACTAAAAACGTTGAATCTCCGTCTTTACTATTGTACAATTTCACATAATTTGTAGGAAGGGAACGAGCAATGTCGCAGAGCTTCAAGCAATGGTCATCGCGCAATCGTTGCTCGTTGTCCTAGAAATGAATGAGAGCTCACAAGTCACAAACTGCCAACATGACCAAGACCAAAAGCACTCAACAGCAGTAGTGTATTGGGAAGGTAATTTCTATTGGGTCATGCCTTCAATAATGATTACAACTGCAAAGAAGCATATTCTACAAGGCTACAGAGTCTCAAAGACACTATATTCCTCAGGGTAAATTATGGCTTCTAGTGTTACAAATTCAGACCCCCGTTTTGCTAGTGGACCTAAAGGATCAGGGCCCATGAATCTCTCTATCTATACAAGAATAAGACCTACTCTTTTACAACATCAGGTCAAGATCAGATTGTAGCTCTGGCCCGGATTCACATACAGGACCCTTAATTGGCCCTGCGGGGTCATGTGAATCCCCACTTCATCTTCCTAAGGTTAATTAATCAAAGAGAAAAAGAAGAAGAGACAAATTCACTAACCCTATATTCTCAAAGCTGCAATGCTAAATCTGGCTTTTCCGTCTCGGGCTTACCGGAAGTAGGGGAGCTAGGGGACTGGAACCCAAAGTTTAAATCGGGTGGCAGAGAGCCCGGTCTCTGTTGTTGTGACAATTCTGAGTCAGGTTTTTGTTGTGACGATTCATTTGAAGGAGGACTGCAATGAAGCCCCGCAGTATCTCCCGGAGTCCTAGGATCCTCCGCATTTAAGTTCTGAGCAGATCCTGGAGCAACGGAATTCGTACACGTCCTGGAACTTGGGTCCAGCAACCGAGGGGATTGGAAGTTGAATCCATCGGCCCTAGCTACTCCAATCAATTTCCCCATATGAGCTGCAAGATTAATCTTTGACACACCATTAATCCCATTAATGCCTAGCCCCATGGAGCTTCGAGGAATTTGAAAAGGAGGCCTCAGTACATTTAAGCTGCTCCCGCTTTTTAAGGCATTTGGCTCAGCATCAGAGTTCAACCCCTCAGTATTTTCCACCTTGTCTAACCGAACTTCTGCAGATTCCTTAGAATCGGGAAGTGAGGGTACAGCAGTCTCCGGTAAACTCGCTCTTTGCTGCTCCAGTAAATTATCCATCAATTCAGTGCCAGAATGAACAGCTTTAGGAGACACACTGGCAGGGGCAGAGAAAGGACCAAGTACCCGTCTCTGTGGTAAGATGTCATTCTCACCAACCCACCCGCGGCCAAACTTTACACCAGCGGGCAAGCACCTTTCTATCTTCTTTGAAGCAACTTTCCAAGCAACTGGTCCCAGATTAGCAGCAAAACGAGCTAGGCTTCTTGCATAACTGTGATCTGGGTGTAGCCCCACCTGCTCCCATAGAATCCAACAGTTAGGGCTGGGCAAAGCAGTTGTCAGCAGAAGAAAATAAATCCCCAAATGTTGAAATTCTTAGCGAAAGCCGTTGCCTCATGTCTCAGATATTCAAATGCATCACAAGGAAAAATGAAGCAGAAAGATTTTTAAATTATCCTAAACTTTTGATATATGCTAAGTAAGCTTATTGCAGCAATAGGCTTTTCCTTTCCCAAACAAAAGGAGAGGAATTGGACACATACAGCCATTAGCTGCTTCCTCTCCCTGCTGAATGTAGTCAGGACAGAAGGCTCGTGTCCACAAGCAGATGGATACTGGCTATATGTATTACGCCTGTTCTCAATGGATATAGCTTGCTTCCTGTCATGCTTTGCTGAATTACCCTTATATAGGAAACCTGGAAAGGAAATAACAAAAGTTACTATGAAGAACGGATGCATGCATTTATGGCTAAACATATAAAATAAGTAAGAACAAGCCAACTCTTTATCAGATGTACAGACCTGCATATTCATCATTCTTATCATGTCTCTTCTCCAAAAATGGACTTGCATATATATCATTATTGCGAGAGCCATAATGAAGTCGTCCCGATAAATTGATCGGACCATATTTACCAGCATAAGTTGGTCCCTTTCTGAGATCATACGTTGATGACGTTGTGTTCTCTCCTCCAGTTGCAAGAGTTGCATCAGAAGAAAATTCTAAACCAGAACGGTCCAAGGGTGGCCTTCCCACTGGCCTCTTCAAATTTTTGGTCGGTGGTCTGCCTCTTCTCACTACCTTTTGCTCAGGTTCATTGTCATCACTATCTTGCCTTAGATTCTCAAAATTCTTTTTCGCCAGCTCTTGTATAGCACGAGCCTGTAAGCAGAAGATTTCATCTAATAAAGGACTATGGCGATTTTGGCAAGATATGCATGGAAAACGACTGTACCTGTCGAAAATAGATGGTGTCGGGGGCATTATACTGCATTGCATTCGAACAAATCAAGAAAACATCTTTCTGCAAGAATAGATGTGTAGGACATTAGTACTTCAGTTATTGACCGCCATAATTTCAAACAATCAGATAGAAATGTCAAAAGGAAACATGAATATAAAAGTCAAACATAGTATCTTCTTAAATGCTGCAAGCCCAACAAATGAATAATGGTATTGT